CCTCCTGTCGTATTAAAAAATTGTAATTATTTTTGTTTTCCCCTCTTAATTCTATATCAATTTGTTCTATTATGTATGGCAACGAAATGTGTGGGTCCTTAATTGATAAAACAACATCACCTGCAGAGCTTCTAAGTTTAAATTATTCTCCGTCAACTCTTGGTCCTTCAGTGTTTAGCTCTTGTCTTATCTTGGAGGCAAGCGCCTCCATTGTAGTATTTTTAGAAGAAAGGACTATGACAAATTGTCAAAAGCTTTCTCAGCATCCAGAAACATAAACGTTGTTTTAGTCCCCCTATTTTTAACCAATTTTGTTGCATTAATTACGAAATATACATTATCTTTCTTAAACCTCTTTGGTACAAAACCAATCTGGTCCAGATGGATTATTTCCGTAATGCATTTCCTTAACCTTTCAGCCATAATTGCAGTAAAAATTTTATAGTCCACATTCAATAAGGAAGTAGGTCTGTAGTGTTTTGGGTCTTTCAAGTGTAAATCTTAATGTAAGGGGGAAAGGCGGGAGTTGATGTAGAAGGCGTAGGAGTGAATCAACAGCCTCAGCAGTCACGCATACTGGATTATCATAGGGAGCGCCAAGATTTGAACAGGCGAGCAGATTAAGTGAAAGTTAACTGATATCGGTACAAGGTTATAGTCCGATAAAACCTGTTAAAAGCAGCTCTCATTTGGACAGAAATAGTCTCGTGGTCACGACAGGACTGACAGCATATTCGAATATAGAGTTAAACTTCATACTGTTGAAGACATTGAGCTCTTCAATTGTGTATTGTTGTCATACACATGTGTCTTTACTGCGCTCAAAGTTAGTTACACTGAAAGAGTACACATGTCTTTGAAAATCTGTTGTGTATGTCTACCATACATACAGGAATTATTCTCTAATGCAGAGGTCTTCATACTATGCATATTGAATGAGCAAAGCTTGGCTTAAAGGGCATTTCACTCATTTCACTCATAGAGCAGGTCGAGAAAGAAGGCATTTTCTTCCTTTCTCACAAGACAAGAACTCGTGGGCACTCAATGAAATTGCTGAGCAGTCGGATTCAGACAGATAAAAGGAAGGACTTCCTCAACCAAAGAGTGATTAACACGTGGAATTCACTGCCACAGGAGGTGGTGGCAGCTACAAGCATGGACAGTTTCAAGAGGAAATTAGATAAGCATATGGAGCAGAGGTCCATCAGTGGCTATTAGCCACAAGGTATAGATAGGAACTCTCAGTCTGGGGCAAGGGATGCTCTGTCTTCTTGGTGCTTGGGGGGGGGGAACAGCGGGAGGGCTTCTGGTGTCCTGGCCCCACTGCTGGACCTCCTGATGGCTCCCGGTATTTTTGGCCACTGTGTGACAGAGCGTTGGACTGGATGGGCCACTGGCCTGATTCAACATTGGCTTCTCTTATGTTCTTATTCCGAAAAAGAAAATACTTCAGTTTTTTCAGTATGTTTGAGAATCGTCTTTGGGGGGAGGCACATTTCTTATTCGGTGGCTTTCCATTTGTTTCTGGGCTTGCACTTCTCTCCACCCAGGAGGAGATTCCAGAACCCACAACCCAGAAATGGCAGCTTGTCTTGCTGTTCTTTCACTTTGGGGTTACCTGGTTTCTATTTGGTTGATTTTGGTGCAGAGTTTGCCAGCTCCAGGTGATAAATGCTCCCAAACCGTTCTTCTGAAGTGCCCCCCTGCAGCTCCAGCGTAGCCGTGGAATGTCAGGTGCTCTTTACTAAGGAGAGGTGTGTGTCTCTCCCCTGAGCCGCGGCGCGTGTGGCAATTCACTTGGCTGTACCATCTGTTAGGAGTATCTTGCTAAAGCTCTTTCTAGCATCCTTTTATTGGAAGTTATTAAAGGATATTACTGCCCATTAATCATTTATTAATAAAAGGTTTATCCATTGCCCCCGCATTCCCTCGGAGCCGCTTTAAAAAGTGATGCCAAGAATGTTATTTTTTCTGTCACGTGAATATAGATAGTGTAGCGTGCTGCGTAGGAAAGGGCCATGATTTTCCAATGCTGGTCCCCAGAAATGTCACTATTAAATCTGAGTAACAGGATGCGAGTTCCCATGGACAAAAAATGAGAGAGGTGCATGATATTTATTGTTGTTATGCTTTTGTTGTGTAAGCCGTATAAATCTGAAGAAAGAAAGAAAGAAATAAAATATCCCCTGCTTTTACGTAGCTCACACCATTTCCCCTTCCTCCATTTTATCCTCACAACAGCCACCCTGCGAGGTTGCTTAGGCTGAGGGAGTGACTGGCCCAAGGTCATCCTGCAAGCGTCTGGGATTGAGTGGAGAGCCAGCCGTGCATATTGCACATCCTGTCTCCTTCCTGTTGTGCTGGCAGGGGTCAGCTGGGTTCGGGCTTTAAGGGCTCAGCCGCCGGGATGGGGAGTCCTGAAACAAAGCTCCCAGTACTCTGAGATGGTGCTGTTTTTCTGCAACACAATGTCAGCTGTGGGCAAAATAGATTTGTAAGGCTGTGTGGGGCGTGTTTCTAAAGTCTGGAGGAAAAACTCCTCCCTAGATGCAGTCTCACCCTGACCTGGGTACTGTAGGCTAGCCCGATCTTGGAAGCTAAGCAGTGTCAGCCGTGGGTAGTTCTTGGATGGGAGACCACCGAGGATGTACGGCAGGGCTATGCAGAGGCAGGCCGTGGCAAACCACCTCTCAACGTCTCTTGCCTCAAAACCCCTACAGGGGCACCGTAAGTCAGCTGCAACTTGACGGCAAAAGAAAGAAGAAAAAAGCTATTGCAATCTTACGATGTGACTGCGAAGAAAGCGAATGCAATCTTAGGATGCATTAACAGAAGCATTGTGTCCAGAGCACGGGAGGTGGTCGTTCCGCTCTATTCCGCTATGGTCAGGCCTCACCTGGAGTACCGTGTCCAGTTTTGGGCACCACATTTTAGGAAGGATGTTGACAAGCTCGAGCGTGTCCAGAAGAGGGCAACCAGGATGGTGAGAGGGTTGGAATCCAAGTCTTACGAGGAAAGGCTGAAAGAGTTGGGTCTGTTTAGCCCGGGAAAGAGAAGGCTTAGAGGGGACATGATTGCAGTCTTTAGATATATGAAGGGCTGTCACGTAGAAGATGGAGCAGATCTATTCTCTCTTGCTCCGGATTGCAAGACTAGATCTAATGGGTGGAAATTACAAGGAAGTTGATAGCGGCTAAACATCAGGAGAGACTTCCTAACTGTAAGAGTGGTTGAGCAGTGGAACAGACTGCCTCGGGAGGTGGTGGATGCTCCTTCGCTGGACGTTTTCGAGTGGAGGCTGGACGACTATCTTTCCGGTATGTTGTTGGGCTATCTTTCGGCTGTAATCCTGCAGAGTGCAGGGGGTTGGACTGGATGACCTGCAAGCTCCCTTCCAACTCTAACATTCTATGATTCTGTGCAGGCCGGGGAAAACAATACTAATCTTACTTTGTCTGGAGAAGTTGATAGTCATAGCGGCTTGGTTTCCAGAGAGTTTATCGTTCTTTCTGGACTCTAAAGGGGGGGAGGAATACTTGTGGGAGGACCCGAGTCACTGATGGACAAAATTTGCTGTATCATTTCTCCCCAACCTCAGCTTGGGGAAAGTTATCAGTTTCCTTTCCTCCTCGCCAGATCTGCCATTTTCCCTCAGCATCTGTTACAGAGTAATGCTTTTTGATGTGTGAGGGGGAGAAAAGGTGGGGGGGAGGAGGATGAAAAAAATGGAAAGCGGAGCCTGTCATATTTTGTTAGATTCTCGGATCCTGGGGAAAGTGTTTGCTCCGTTCAGCATGCCTGCAGCGTAGCGAGGGTTTAAAAGCTGTAGCCTGCGACGCCGAGGGAGCAGCAAACCCTACGGATGAATAAATGATTAAAACAGAGTCGTGCCGAGCACACAAACCGTTCAGGGGCACAGCAAACAGCAAGGGCCCAGGTTGCCTTTCAAGAAAGGAGTCCTGCTCTCTCTCTCTGCAGATTTCTGGTAACTGCCGGGTTGGCCAAGTCAATGGAAGCTCAGTCGCCAAAGGACAGCAAGCACCAGAATCGCTGCACTGTGTCGGACCCTCAATCCCTCCGGTTATGCGAAGGAGTTCCCAGTGGGTGTCACTCCTTGGCAGGCGTACCTTCTTGGGCTCTTGCCCCCGGTAGTGGTGGTGGTGGTGGGGAGAGAAGTAGCTCTTTCTGAACATGGGAGTTGTTCTTTTGACTGATTTGGACACTGAACGTAGTAAAGCTTGTCCTCTGTGTATTCGTTCAGAGGGGTGTTAGTGGTAACTGCTGTCACTCCACCTGGTTGCAGTGAGTCTCATCAGTTCAGTACCTACTGCCATGAGACAGGAACCCTGACCTGGGCGGCCCAGGCTAGTCCTGTCTTGCCAGATCTCAGAAGCCCTGGTTAGTAAGCTGGATGGGAAACCACCGAGAAAGTCCAGGGTGTCAGCTAGGCCTTTGGCTATTCCAGCTGCCACAGGAGTGAGAGGTGACTCTGGAATTTTGACTTTCGTTTCTACTTCCGTCATTTATCTATGTAACCCCTGTTTCTGACCTTGAGTGCCTGGTATTGCTTTTCTCCTGGGAACCTTAGCCTGTGATTTATGCAGCAGCCAAATCGCTCACTCACAACTTTGATGCCAGTAGCTCACCAAGCAGAATTTTTGCTCACAGGACTCCACAGCTTAGAGGCAGCATTGGAGCCAAGCCTTCTTAGCCAGTAGGGGAAGGCATAAATGGACATTTCCCCGCCCTCCTTGTCTTGATGGATGCCCTCCGACATGTCTGTTATGGGGAGGAGAAGGGAAAGGAGTTTGTAAGCCGCTCTTGGGTAGTGAAGAGCGGGGTATAAATCCAATCTCGTCTTCCTCCTCCTCCTCTCTGCGTTGGCTCTCCTCAGTCTCTGGTTGCTGCAGGGTATGAAGAGTTGCCCGCAACCTACCCATAGCGGGAGCTGGGCCCGGCCAGCGTGGTTCTTGATGTAGCCCTCTGCTTCTCTGTTCCAGGTCTGGGAGCGCTTCCTGGACCCCCAAGCCCCCAGAGTCAACGTCTTCATGGCAGTGCCAACCATTTACGCTAAGCTGATCGAGTATTATGACAAACACTTCTCTCAGCCTCATGTCCAGGATTTTGTGCGCGCCGTTTGCCAAGATAACATTCGGTAAGTGGGCCCTGCACTGAACTCCAGGCAAGAGTGAGGGGTGGGGGCAGTGCTTCCATTTCCACCCACCCATTGGCTTGTAAAACAGGCAATAGGTAAAGGTTTCCCTTGCTCGAAAGCCAGTCGAATCCGACTCTAGGGATGTGGTGAAAACCAGTGAAAACCAGTGAGGATTGTGAGGCACTCCAAAGGGATCTGTCAAGGATGGGCAAGTGGGCGTCAACATGACAAATGGGGTTCAACGTGGCCAAGTGCAAGGTGATGCACACTGGAGCCAAAAATCCTAAATATAAATACATGTTGATGGGGTCTGAACTGGCATAGACTGATCAAGAGAGAGATCTTGGAGTTGTAGTAGATAACGCACTGAAAATGTCGAGACAGTGTGTGACTGCAATAAAAAAGGCCAATGCTATGCTGGGGATTATTAGGAAGGGGACTGAAAACAGATCAGCCAATATCATAATGCCCCTATATAAATCAATGGTGTGACCTCATCTGGAATACTGTGTGCAATTCTGGTCACCACACCTTAAAAAGGATATTATAGCTTTGGAAAAAGTGCAGAAAAGGGCAACTCGAATGATAAAAGGGTTGGAACACTTTCCCTATGAGGAAAGGTTAAAGCGCTTAGGGCTCTTTAGCTTGGAGAAAAGACGACTGAGGGGTGACATGATCGAGGTTTATAAGATTATGCATGGGAAAGAGCAGGTAAAGAAAGAGGTACTTTTCTCCCTTTCTCACAATACAAGAACCCGTGGGCACTCCATGAAATTGCTGAGCGGTCGGGTTAGAACGGATAAAAGGAAGTACTTATTCACCCAAAGAGTGATTAACACATGGAATTCACTGCCACAGGAAGTGGTGGGTGCTACAAGCATGGACAGCTTCAAAAGGGAATTAGATAAGCATATGGAGCAGAGGTCCATCAGTGGCTATTAGCCACAAGGTATAGCTAGGGGCTCTGGGGCAAGTGATGCTCTGTCTTCTTGGTGCTTGGGGGGGGGGTCAACAGTGGGAGGGCTTCTAATGTCCTGGCCCCACTGCTGGACCTCCTGATGGCACTGGTATTTCTGGCCACTGTGTGACACAGAGTGTTGGACTGGATGGGCCTTTGGCCTGATCCAACATTGGCGTCTCTTATGTTCTTATGTTCTTAAACCACTAGGCCATTCAGGTTTGACCCAGAGCATATCACTGATGAATATACAGTGGAGGTGAACAATAGGTTTGACTAGATTTGATAGACAGAGTGCCTGAAGAAGTATGGATGGAGCAGCATCTTAACCACCTGAACCACCGCAGCCCTAGTGTTCTCCTCTTTAAGTAAGCATCCTCTCCGTCCCAGAATCCCTGCTGCTTTGTTTTATATTGGGTGGGAAGAGAGGGGAGGGCTGGCAGGAAGTGGCGAAAGCAAGGCATTCTGCACATGCTTAAGGGGAACGTCCCCAGCCCGACTGAACACAGAGACGACTGTTCCAGTCAACACAGGCTCCTGTTCTGGGGCCCACATTGCTTTCTGGACCGGGCGTGCACACGAAAGCTCATACCCCGAATAAAACTTTGTTGATCTTAGAGGTGCCACCAGACTCAGACATATTAAGTATGAATTGCAAATGGCAAGAAAGAAGGGGGGGAGAGAGCGAGAGATGCCCCTGATCAGTGGACTTCTTTGGCCGCAGGTAACATTGCTGAGACCTGCCGTGCTCCTCCTTTCCTTTCTTCACTTGGAGTCCACCTTTCCCACTGAACTCCAAGGTGATTCCAAATGGGAAAAAACAGTCTAAAAAGATACCATAAATAAAGCAATGGTTGGATTACAAAATTTAGGAAAAGGAAGCTGTTTCACAGTGAACGGAGCCAGGAGGCTTTCGGAAGATGGCTGGGCGAAGTGCCCTCCGGGGGAAGTTTTTCATGCTGGATATTCTGCTTCTGTTGGACTAGCAGGCAGTCCTCTCCCTTCCATCGCAATGACGCTGGTTCCTCCCGTTTCCGTGTGTCTTGCCTCAAAGAGGAGAGCCAGGCCGCCCGCTCAGCCTCCAAGGTGGCCTCCTCCTGTCTTGTTAACAGTCATCTGTCATGTCTCTGCTCCCAGTTTGGGTCCCAGGGTGCAGAGGCCAAGCCCTTCTCTACTCGGGCAGGAGCCCAGGCCTGGTCTGTCTGAGGTTTTTTTGCACCCTAGGCAGGGCTACCTTCTGGCCCCCCCCCCCCCGGCTTGGGCCCAATTACGGGGTTGCCAACCTCCCAGAGCGCACCCTAGAGAGCCCTTCTCTCCGCCACTCGCTGAAGCGGGAGGAGGCGCTCCCCGGACAAAGGGGGCAAAGAGCCCTTTCGGGCGAGTCAGGCTGCCAGGCTCACCTCCCCGCCCCAGCAAAAGAGCCAGAGCCAGACAAGGCCGCCTGCCTCCCCTGTGCGAATCTGCCAGACGCCCCACCACGAACCCGTCTCCGCAGGTTGTGTTCCCCCACCCGACCCGACCGGACTTCCACCCTTGCCCGCAAGAGGCCCGCCACGGCAGCACCCCCACTCCCCGCCGGCGCGGCGCCAGCGGCCCCGAGAGACCCCGGGAGAAACGTGGCTGCAAGGCGCGTGTGAAAAAGCAGAAGCAGCAGGAGGGCGCGGCGGTGGCGGCGGCTCTCTTGCAGGCGGGCTGGGTGCAGCCATCCGAGGCCGCAGCGGGCGCAGACAGTTGCTGGGGTGCAGCGGGGGGGGGAGGGATGGCCAGAGCGGGGCAGAGGGATTAGGTGGAACCCCCCCCCGATAAAGCGAAGGGTCACCCCTACTGGAGAAGCCCCTCGGGGAGTTTCCTTCTCGTTCCCATTCTGATCTGCCCCTTTTCTAGTTTGCCTTCCTTTCCCAAGGCGGCTCAAGGGGCAGGGAGGGCACGGCAGTAGCGTCGGTGGCGGTTTGCGGCTTGGCCAGGTAGAGGGCATTGGGGCAAGGCAGCAGGCTTAGGGCGCAGGCCAGGCGCGCGGCAGGCGGGAGCGGGGCCAGGCCGCAGCAGCTCTTGGGCTTGGCCAGCAGCGACTCGATGTCAAAGCGGCTGGGAGCAGCAATGGCGCACAGGCTTTTGGCAGTGGGAGAAGATCGGCGCCCCATCCAGGGCCTGGCGCTCTAGGTGAATGCCTAGTTCGCCTAGCGGGTGAGCCAGCCCTGGTAACAGCCTTCTGTCCCCCCTCCCACCTTGGGCATTGTGTTTGCCAAGGGGCACTTTGCTTTGGGGCAGGCAGGTAGTAGAGGACATTGTGTCCGTGCCTCTTGCCTTCCTGTCCCGCACAGTCACTCTTTAGCTCACGTGCAAATGTAGTTTCATGCAACGTGGTGAGTGGCGTCCACCCCAGAGTGTGGGAGATCCACGACACTGAGCTCCTCTTCCGTTCAAAGCAGGATCCAGAGCCCGCCCCCCCCCCTTGGTACTGCCGTAATGAGACTGCCCTGCACTGCCACAATCTGGGTCCCACTGGCGTTTCTGCTTCCAGGTTGATGGTCTCTGGGTCTGCAGCCCTTCCAGTGCCTGTCCTGGAGAGGTGGAGGAGCATCACCGGGCACACGCTGCTGGAGAGATACGGGATGACGGAGGTCGGGATGGCGCTTTCCAACCCACTGGACGGAGCCCGCGTTCCCGGTAGGAATCCGGAGAGGGTTTGCCGGCCTGGCCTGGGCTTGCTCAGGAGGTTTGGACGCGGCCAAGAGAAGTCCAGTGTTAACAACTGGGCATAAATCAGGACTGTGCTGCTAACCCCAAGGGTTTGTTCTCGGGTGGAGCAGAAAGCCATGGTTGATGGGGGGCAGGGAGCACCCAGGACTTTCCCCACAGGCTGTTCGAACGTTTGTTGATTGATTGACTTTATTTATATCCCGCCTTCCTCCCCAGAGGAGTCCCAAAGCGGCTTCCATCGTTCTCCTCGATTTCATCCTCACAACACCCCTGTGAGGTAGGCTAGGCTCTTCCAATCAGCACCTCCTGGTGATCCCCGGCCCGAGGGATGCCCCCTTAGCCTCAACCAGGGTGAGGGCTTTTTCGGCCCTTGCCCCAAGCTGGTGGGATGTGTCCCCACCCGAGATCAGGGCCCCGCGGGACCTTTTACAGTTCCGCAGGGCCCGTAAAGCAGAGCTGTTCCGCCCGGGTTTCGGTTGAGGCGGCAGACGTCCAGCCATTCTGGCCTCCCCTGTCCATGGCCCCTTCCGAGTGCCCTGCTGCTTGGACACCATTACTTGGGCACTGGTGCTTTTATTCACCTGACATGAGGCAAGGGTCCTTTCTGTTATTGTTTATGGTGCCATCTGTTGTTTTATTGGTTTTGTCGCTTTTATGGTTTTATGAATCTTGTCTTGTAAGCTGCCCTGAGCCCACCTGTGGGATAAAAGGTAAAGGTTTCCCTTGCTCGAAAGCCAGTCGAATCTGACTCTAGGGGGCCGGTGCTCATCTCCATTTCCAAGCCGAAGAGCCAGCGCTGTCCAAAGACTTCTCTGTGGTCATGTGGCCGGCATGACTAAGCACTGAGGCGCACGGAACGCTGTTACCTTCCCACCAAAGCGGTACCTATTTATCTACTTGCAATATCTTGCTTTCGAACTGCTAGGTTGGCAGGAGCTGGGGCCAGAGACGGGAGCTCACTCCATCGTGCGGCACTTGGGTCTCGAACTGCCGAACTACAGACCTTCTGGTCTGCAGCTCAGCGTCTTAACCTCTCAGCCACCGCGGCCCCTACACTTGTGGGATAGGGCGGATGTTGGGTGATAGTGAGATGTTGAAAAATAGTATTTAGCAGAGATAAGATAGTCCAGCAGAGCCAGAGTAAAATAATTCAGACTCAGAATCCATGTGTGATTAAAATATAAAGTTTTTACTAAATTCTAGCATGGGAAGGGTAACTGGGATGAAAATAACAACAGAGCAAAATCTACTACATCCTTACTCTACAAAGACAAAACTAGAAGAGGGAGAGTATGGCTGCTCTTCTTGTTCTTCAGAACACCAAACAAAGACGGGAAGAGAAGCCATAAAATGGTAATACACCTTGACACTTTAGTCCCAATCAAACTCCTAGATCAGGGAGAAAATTCCCGGGCAATCCACATCTAAAGAACATTGGTTACATGAGAAACATGTGACTTCCTGTGAGTAACATAAACAAACATTTAACCCCAGACATACTGAGTGTTTTCAACTTGTAATACCCAACAGCAGAGTATAAATTAAACAAATAACAATCGGCTGAGAGGGCGTGACAGGCCCACCGTCACCCAGCCAGCTTCCAAGGCAGGGTGGGGATTCACACCTGGGCCTCCGAGATCCTAGTCCAGCACTCTAACCACTATGCCGCACCGGCTCACCACTCTGGCAGACACCTCGCTGTGGCCAACCCCATGGGTCGCAAGAGCAACAGCTGCAGCCAGGGCTCTTCGGGACCACCCCCGGGAGATGGTGAGGCACAGTGGCCTGAGCCTGTCTGTTGCCCCTCTGCTGGGGCTGAGCGTCTTTGCGTACAGCAGCCATGGCAACCCCAGCACACTTCCAGTGGCTGGGCTCTCTCGGGCTGCCTGGTG